AAATGCCCGCGGGCGCGTTTCCAGTGTCCCGCTTTTGCGCGGTGCCGTAATCCAATTTGAGGGCGATACGTCTTCGCGCGATCTCGTTCGCCGCGGATCGCCGTACGGTTCTGCGGTGTTATCTATCGATACTTCTACCACGCTGAATATTCCGCTGAATATTCCGCCAGATACCTGTTGATACTGATGGCACGAAGAATAAAGCCCAGATATCCGGAATGTTCGATATCAGGAGCGAAGTAACTACAACGGGAAGAGGAATCGCGAGCGTCTTTCGATGATGACGACGTTGTTATTCTACCGCAATATCGATATTTCGCTTTCGGTATCGCGCGTTCTCAATGACAACGATATCGATTTGGCTTTTGGTCTTCAATAATATCAGCATCCCGAACAACGCTATCTGAATTATCGATTTTACTCGAGCGTCCTCTCTAACCAAAGTAAAATTTATTCTCATCACAATGAAATGAATAAATTCGACGGCAAGTTCAACGTAAACAATCTCATTGTATTTTATGAGTATCAAATGTTTGGCAACATTGGCCTTAAATAATCCCGATCAACGCATCCCGATTAACGCTATTTGAATTATCCATTTTACTCATCCCCTTCAATCAAAATAAAATGTATTTTCATCACAGCGAGAAAAATAAATTTAACACTAAATTCAATGCAAACAATCCTACTTATATATTTCGGTCTTTATATCAATATTAAGTTTCTCACATCGAAATATTTTAATTTTAGTCTATTCTCTACACTGAGAGAAACTATAGTTATTTTCGGCTTCAACTCTGTACTCTTTTTATAGTTTTAACCACAAAAATAGTAGCAGCAGTATTCATGTAAGATTATTATCATTCATACTACAATAATTGTGAGAAAAACCTCCTGAAAACCTATGAGGTTCTCCCGATTATAATTCTTTCACTATGATAATTACGATTGCAAATACCAAATATTTTTCTCTCAGGGTACGTTCTTATTTTTTTTCCTTTTATCACACTCAGCAATCGATTTAACCTTCGCAAGGAAAGATGAAATAGTACAACATGAACAGAAAAGGGGATATAAAAACGCGCGTCTTGCGGGGTCATAAGTGACCCCTACCTTTCCTTGCGACGCACTTAAAGCACCTAAAGCTGACTTGATATTTGGTACTGCACGCCGTGGCATTAAATTTCAATCCAGCCTCGTTAGATTCGACTTCCCTCAGCGATCGTTCGCCGATTGACGACAGTTCGTCAACCGGCGCGTCCAATGGCGCGTAGCGCGCGGGCTCGCACGCTCGATCGACAGTAAACACGTTCGGGTACAATAAACAGGCGGATGTTAATGAGGCACGGTCATAATTTACGGAGGGCTGTATAAGTCGCGACGGTATGTGAAAACGATACTGGGCGTGGTAACCGGAGGCGCGAGGAATCGCTGGAGGCTCGAGCGAGCGGAAATCGCGCGAGCGAGGCGCGATAAGATTCTCTCCGCACGAATAATCCGCAGCGCGGGTACTCACTGCGTTACGGCCACTGGAACGACACTCACCTGAAACAGAACGAGAATGATGCTTCAATAACGCTGTCCTCAACGAGGACTTTAATTAAGGTAGCGCCATCGTGCAGCCGGGACGTAACCGTATACGCGTTTCGATTCGAATCACGCTCACTCGGGATTATTCTAGCGTACGACGAACACCTGTTGGCGCTTTCGCCGTCATTCTTAAATTTACACGTGCATCTGTACATGTAACGAGTTATGCAGAAATAGTTGCTTAACAAGTTCTCGCGCGCATAATCGGATAAACTGTTGGACGTTACGCCGTTGACACGTATCTCGGTTGATACGCGACTACCTCGGATGCTCGTTGGAACGTATTCAGATGTTAGAGAAGGTGTACATCGGGCCATGAGAAGTCGAAGCACGGATGTTACAATGTGAATTAGATATTAATATTGTCAGTGTTAATATTATTGCGGAAGGATACAATTGTTCGGCGTGTAAGGACGTATGTGCTGAGTATTCCCCGGACAACGCGTACGCGGTGAATTCATCTTCCACGCTTAGACCGATCCTTGAGTCCCAGAAATATGATTATTAATTTTCATTCCCCTGGAAGACCCTTAACTTTGGCCACCAAGAATTCGATAGTATTTTAAATATATAAATATTTAGATTTATGTTTATATTTATTATTAGTATTTATATTTATATAAATTTTACATGTGTATATTTAGATATGATGAATATTATAATGAAATATAATTCAATGTGTCGCATAATTGAAAGAACACGGCGTTAATACGCGAAATTTACTTATACGCGATTAACTGTGAAAGCGTGGATGCATCCTTCGCGAATAACTCCAATTCTGCTCTGGTTGCTGGTTGCTTTCACAAGTTCGATCGAAAGCCGATGAAAGTGATATGCGCAGGCACGCTGCATAAAGAGCACATCAAAGATAACGATTCACAATGTTGTCCGAATCAAAACGCGACATGTCGAGAGAACGATCATGAAGATCATTATGTGGAGCAGCCGTTTTCCAGGTCACAATTACCGTCACTTCGAGCCGTCACTTCGAGCGAGGGACAGCAGATCGGGGGAAAACAGATTCATCGTTTGTTAATGTCGCGGAATAGTCGGGAAACGCAGTCTCGCTTGTGTTAATTCGGTCGCGTCACGTGAACTCCGAATTCGCCGAGGCAAAATGTGCCGCGCAAATCGCACGCTCGTGGATGTGACGGGGGCGATAAATCAGGTGTCTCCGACACCGGAAGTGCAACGCCGGTATTGTCGGTTCTGTCACACTATGGCCTTTGGACACGCGCCAACTGCAATCGCAACTAGTTCGCTACAAAACGATAACGGACAGCGAGAAGGAAGGAAAAATGGACTAGGCCGCACTTGGTGCATAACAGGTGAAATTATTATTATTCCGCCAAAAAGAAACTGTACCCTTCTTTCTCTTCCTCCTTTTTCCAGTAGGAAACAATCACACTCTGTCATTGAGAGTTTATAAAGCTCAGCATCGTATTTTCAGTGACGCATTACGGGGGCCACTCGTAAATTTCATATTTGTCAAACAAAATTACGTTATTTTTTGTGTGTTAATTTCACTACCTAAATAATAAATGTTAATTTCAAACGAAATTGAAGTAAATATATATGTATACGCGATATTACAAATGTGAAAATATTGTTAATTTTTATTTTTCCTATTAATGCTATATTTATGCATCGGTTGATCTAATAGAGATGTACAGATAATAGAAAACGAATTGATCAATAACTGAAATTTCCCTATAAGGTCTGCCTATATTATAACCTTTAACATCATAGTAATTTTTCATCAAAATCTTATTTTTAGTTTAAAATGATATTAAAAATAGAAATTAAAATTAAAATCTTAAGGAACGCGTATAAAAAGCAATCAACTTTGCTTGCAAATATCTCAGCTCTCGAATGATCAATCTCTTCCTAATTGCAGTCCGATAATATTTCAGCGTATACGCGGCGTGTGTTTCGCTGAATTCTTATTAAACTTAAATCACCTTACAATTTCCTTGATCGCGCGACGCGTCTCAAGAAGAAGCCGCGAACATCGGCAGAGTGAGAGTACGCGAATGTAATCGACAAATAAGAATTCACAAATGGAATGGTAATCGAGAAATAAGAGGAACGAGAGGAAAGAAGAACTCTCTAGAAGGAAGGGAGACTTTCGAGTTAAAGTTTACGAATTGCTTTCCCCAAGGAGGTATCGCCTGACTCTGAAGACGATCCTCTTTCTTCTAGTGTCATGTAAAGTCGCCTTCGCAGGAGCAAATTAAATTCCACCCGTCACGATATTCACAGGATGTCGCATACGTACGAGCGCCTTATGAGTTTTCTCGTTTCTTTACTTCCTTTCTTTCCGACGTTATCCGCGATCCCGCTTATTTATAAGCAGCGCCAGAAATGTTTTGCCATCTCCCCACCGGGAAAGATGCAGTTCCTCGTTGCGCCTTCGTACACACGATGTAAACACGATCGAACGAGGAAAAAGGCCGGCGTCAGGCCGCGCGGATGAAGAGAACAAGATGTACCGCAAGTTTGTCGAGAATGATAGCCCGTCAAGGCTGTTGCTTGACAGTCTGACCCCATGCCACGAGGCCGCGGCGGTATATTTACCACCTGGAAGTGCTTAGTGGGTTCTCATCCACGTTCTCACTCTAATGGTCTATTATTGGACGATCTATTAAAGGAATGCGCTTCAGCGACGACCGCCACGCCTGCCACGCAGACATCTTAGGATAATGTTACGTCAGCGGCGAGCGGTGCCACGTGAAACGCGCGTTGCATCAAATCGCACGTTAAAATCGACTGACCTCCGTCTTTCAACTCTTTTCAAATACGCCGTAAGAGAACACACGGCGAAGGCTCTTTCAAAAATACTGAACTGGAATTGCAATTCAATTGCATATGCAACGTGACATTTTGTTCTTCTCTTAATAAGCAACCACCTTTTTACTTCTTACGTAAGCCATCTTCGAGTACCTTTTTACATTTTACGGTAAAAGGTGTTCAAAGGTGACTGCGACGTCGGAATATGTTATCTATAACGATTACACTTGCGTTTCTAAGGGAAACAATGTAAAGTATCCGAGGGAAAGAATAAAAATATCGCAGACACATGATATCTCGAGTGCAACGTAAATAGAATCATCGGGAATCTCCATATTCATTTCCATTTTAATGTCTTGCATGCGCGCGGCACAAACAGTCCATAGTGGGATAGGCGCGGGAATCCTTTCGAAAAGACCGCCACACACGGGATCGATATTGAGCTCTCGCCGACGGCGCTCGAGAGTTTCATGTCACGCTGGTATCTCGCGCGAGGCGCTCGCTTGTGCTGCGTACGTAACATACTCACCTTATCGAGCAGCGCAGGAAGGTATTGTATAGGTATTCGCATTCGTACGAACACGTACGCGCTACATCGAGTGCTTATATGTTTGACTTACGTATGTGTTTTGCACCAAGTCATACGGCAGCTGTAAACGAGGTGCAAGTAGCAGCATTAACTGCTCCAATGGCCGCGGCTGCCCGTTCGCCAGCGCGATAGTCCCGCACATGCGTAAAAGAGCGAGGACGAGTGGTAGGAAAGTTGCGGATGCAACGAGATTCAAACGTACTCAGGTATCCCGATTTATTTTCCAAGCGCTTCCCCCGACGAATATTTACTATTAACGATTAACTTATTAATGTAGGGAGAATTACAAATACGGCTGTACATGCGATTGGATACGATCGATTGCGAACCCAGACAGCAGAATGTCCAAAGTCGGGAATTAAGACGTCATTTGGACGTCTTAGAAACATATTAAAGACGTCTTATATCACGATATCTTAAACACGACTTCAAGACGTCTAAAAGACGCCTCGTGTCCCGATTTTGGATATTTGTGCTGCCTGGGAAGTTATTAAAATAGAGGAGAAAGGGAACACACGAAAACAATGTTCGAAAAATATAAGAAATAACGTAAAATAATTATAAAAGAAGATAAAATTGACAATTATATGTAGAAAGAATATATAATATATAGAATAAGGATACATAGGAACTAATTATATATAGTATAGTATATATACTTCATGTTTGATGGATAGAGTGTTATTACAGCGAAAGTATTACTTTATTAATACGAAAGCTACAAGATGTACACAAGATATATTTTAGTAATGCGATTCTCTCTCTCTCTCTCTCTCTCTTTCTCTCTCTTCTCGCAAGTGCGATTGTATTATAAATATAAATACCAATTAAATCAAGAGGTTATCGCCGCATCGTGACCCACAATACGACCGAGAGTGAGATTCGATCTGCACGAATCTAATTGTCCGACCGATTATCTGATATATTCACTCCTTCGATCGTTACGAAAATAATTGCGAACACGGAATAATTCCCTCCGAGTGAATCTAGCGCGCCGTAACACTCCACGAATATGACCGATATTCTCCCGCTGAATCGATTGTCTGTCGTAATTAGCGATTTGCCGCACGAACACGCGTTTCCACCGCGAACGTTAAAGTCGCATTGCATAAATAATGGCGTAATTCGGGGCCTCGCAATTACGACACGCTCGCTCGCGAGGCCCGAAGTATTCCTGGAAGGGACTTCGCGGCTGTCTCGATGAAGCAATCAAAGCCGCGTAACGAACAAATTCGCGCAAATCGATGTGAAAAAGTTGAGATGCGCGCCATTAATTACGTTATTATACGTCCCGATAGGCTGACACGTGATCACGCGCGTAAGAAACAGAAACGCTAACGTTGCCGCGCGACACGATCCATCATCGGGCGATCGTATTGAACCTCGTTAACCTTGACATTTTGAGCGACTCTCGCCTCGTGTTTATTTTAGAAAGGTAGAACGGTACGTACCGTGACGAATTCCCACCCCGCGAAATGACAAGCGACACTATTGAATGCGATGTGATTGCTTTCGTACCTCTCCTATCAAGGATTTAAGGCGTACGCGCGCGCGCGCGCGCGCGGATTCTCCTGGAAGTATTGAGCCGCTCCTCTCATTCGCGAATTCTTATGTCACGTTAAACTTTCTCAGATCAGAGATTAAACTTGGTATTCCCTCCGGACGGGAATTAACACAGAACACCGTCATTTCTCGGGAACTTTTATCCTTCGCGTGTTTGCGCATTTCACTGCATATTCTAATAACCGTCTTCGTCGCTGAATTATTCCGCTAAAGTTTATTTAATTTCCACTAAAGCAGACGATTTGTCGTTTCCTCAGTTTTGGCGAGGATTGATTTAACAAAGTTCATACATTCAACTGCATAATTTGAGGGCTATTTATACCTTGACATTTTTGATCGGATATAATTTGCAGAAGAAAACGCCTGTCCTCTATTTTAAAAGCGCCGTCTTTCATATTTAATTTATATCGACTTTCTCGTGATTAATGTTCCGCGAAAACGTGTTACTGAATGCGTATCTCACTCGATGACCAAGCAGCTTACGGCGGGATCCGCAATTATAATTGATGGATCTGCACTTTCGTACGTTACATTGAGGTCTAAAAATTTCACGACTTTCAATTTTTTCCGTAACGGTACAGTAACGGCCGATAATGAATTTTACCGGCGTAAAATTTCAGGTCAAAGGAGCACCGTCCACGAACATCGTCGGGATTTGATTTCTCGAGGGGATTTCTCCGATCGGTGGAATTCCGCCGCGAATGATCATCAAACCGCAAATTGTCGGGCGAAGGACGCTGCTCGCCGCAAGAAATGCCCGTAATTTCTGGACGAAAATCCTCCGCGGCAAAAATAAGCCTCTGGCGTCGGAGGTAAGTCGCCTTGAGTGTATGTGTGTGTGTGTGTGTTGCCCCGTTAATTAATTTCAGTTCGTCCCCCCAATTGTCCCGCAGCGTTTTTCGTCGCTTCGGGAGAAATCTTCTCTCGTGGGACCGCGTACTTTCTCCGGACGCTTTAATTACGTAACAATACACGTCCGTGTTACACTTCACGTGTCTCCATTCCCGCGGCTCCGCGATCGCACTCGGATAATCCCGCGGGTCTCAGACGCAGTCGAACAGACCCCGAGAATCCGTCACTCTCGGAGTATGCATTGTGTATGTTCCGTCGAGGAATTGCGAAACGTGACCGCCGCTTCTTTCTTCTGATCTGTTACGACAACATGCTCGGGCAAAACTCACGGTACAATTCTAATCCCCAACAATCCCGGCAATTGAAAGATAAGCTGTTGCACCTCTGTAGAGAAGATCGGGGCTGGAAATCGCACGGATTAATCGTCGCACGGATTATATCTCAGTAAATAAGTAAAGAAGCATATTGTTCTCTACGGTAAATTTGCTGGTATCGCGTTTGTTCGATGCACGAGGTAGCTCGTGGCTAATTTGATTAAAATTGAACGTGATGAGTAAATTTTTGCCCGTCTCTGCTTTTACTGTTCCGTCGCTTTTGAAATTACCAGTCGCGATTTCCTTGTATTCATAAGAAATATCATAATTTTAGCCAATTTTTCCTATATCCAGTTATTAAACGTTAGTGCACAATATTGTTTAGAAATATAATTTCCTTTATTCAAAGTGATCATTCGGAGTAAATTGACACGAATGCGGCTGATGTAACTTACACATATGCACGAGCGCCTGCACATGGAGTTTTGTCAGAATCAAGTTATCCGGTTAAATTAAGAAGTTATGTTCGTAGATATAAAGATTTTAGACAGATTTCAATTGTTTTTTCGGTTATCATGTGGCGAAAAAGCGGCCAAAAAACTGATAAAAGTAAAATTGCACCTTGATTACATAATATTATTAACTTTAACTTTAAAATATTAAAGAAACATTTAAGTGGGAGCTATATTTCTTGTTTCTTCGAGGGACGTGTGAGAAATTGGGAAAAAAACCGGTTTTCTTTCGAAACTTCAAGACTGCATATATAGTAACAACATTTGCCGCATACAAATATCTCGTGATTTGATACTCTATGGGACACTTGAGATGCTCGTGTCGCTCGCTGCTGTCGCTCGCTTCTTTCAATCTTGGGTAAGATTCGAAAACCTTATTGTACCGTCACGCAAAGTTGCACCTGTGCCGCGGTTCAATCTCGTCTTACGGTAACGTGAAACGGAAAGTCTGCGAGTAACACGATCGTACGTGCTGAGGAACGGCGCCGGCCGCGACGCCGCGCGCATTTCGAGCAGACCGCTCGAACTCCCCAAGTTTCTCGGTATCTCCGGCACTTCCAATGCGACGAGTTAATTTCTTTCGTACACACGGCGAGTCGGAAAGGCCGCGAGCGCGGTGTTAACGAGCCGATACGTACGAGAAAAGACGTAACGGGATCGTAACGGTCGCTTTGACTTTGTCCGGTGGTGGTATCTCTCTCGGGCGCGCGAGAGATCCTTCCCTCGACGGCCGACGGATGACGACGACGGTATACAAAGTGGCCTTATGTCATTGCACACGCGTTGCACACAGGTCTTAACGAGCTACCTATTGCAAAGCGGCGAGCCCCCCTGGACCTCGTACTTCGTCCGCTACGTCGACGTGGCGAACGATCAGCGCGGAATGTCACACTTCAATTGGCCCGCGGGCGACAGCAATTACCACGTGCTTAGGACCGGCTGTTTCCCGTACATCAAGTACCACTGCAGCAAGCGGCCGGCGCAGGATCTCAGCGGCGAGGACAGATTCTTCAAGGCGATCAAGATATTGAACCTTGGTGAGCCCGCGAACGGCCGTCCGCCCGGCCGCTCGGCGAACGAAAAAGAAAGCCCCCGGGTTGTTCGGAAACGCGACCTTGTTCATTTACGTCGGTTAGATACGGCCAGCCGACGAGCTCGTAAATCCTGTCGTCACGTCGCGAATACGGGGTGTCGCGGAGCACCCGGCGCCGTTATTTACGCGATGTTCAACGGCCACTTTTATCCCGACTGAAATAGGACGTCGACGCTCTCGAGTCGCCAGAAGTTGAAAACGCACGCAGAAAAGGAAGTCGAGTAAACGTAATCATCTGTTTTTCAGCCTCTTAAATCAAATCATATTTTTATCAACTTGAGTATATTTTCATTTAAACTTGTAGTAAATATTTGTACGCAGTAGTGCTTTAATTCGTAAACGAATTACTGAATGTAGGTGCAAAATGGTTCTAAATTTAAGAGAGAGTATTTATTAAAATTATGTAATCATTCTTTCCAATTGAAGAAACTTAATGATTTCGATTTTTCTGCCCGGTAAATTTTTTCTAAAAATTAATTCCGATATTCCCGATATTATAAATTTAATATTTATCGCACTTATTTCAACACATGCAAGTGTCTGTTTGTACGAAAAAATATCATTGTATACAATTACATTTATACTTCTAACAAATATCTGTCAAAGTGTATTAGAGCACCTACATTTTATTTCGATCACGTAAATATTATTATGTTATCGATCAAGTAATATAATTATATTACTTGAACTATAGCACTCTTTTTCAGTGTAGATATTCGTGAATGAGATATCCGAAACGCGAATAAACAACAATAACAAGTGAAGCCATTATCCGATTAGATTTCGAAGCGATTTTATTTTCTCGGATATTTTCAATTTAATTATTCAATTACCGAGGTATCGGATCGATGAAAAAGTTGATTCCGGTTTTTTAATATACATATAACATTCGTTTATTTTAAAATACAATCGATCAATCAATTAAATGTGCGCCGTTTTGATCGATGACTTGCCGTCTCTCCGGCAGCTGCACGATCCCGCACCTGCCGAGATCTTGGGATTTCTGATCGAAGAGCCGATCAAGAACGGGACGAACTTTCGCATCAGCCCAATATTTAACGTCGCGGCCGGCGTACGCGAGATATTTCCCAACGTCAAAACGCCCACCCCGAATGTTCGCCCGAGGATTCGTCGTTGCGATTAAGCTCTCGGCAGTTCCGAGACACCCCGTGCACTCGCCGGTTGCTGTCGTCTAACTTAATTGAATTCACTGCGTATCTAAAGTAACGATCGGAACAGGGTGTCGTGACAGAAACCGCTCGTATTACCAGGCGGTCTTATTTGACTTCATTTCCGACGTCCGACGAGAAGGAACGTGGGACGGCGTCGTCCTTCCACGGTCAACGTCTCGTTTCATTGACGCTCTTCCGATCTGGAATTAGCCATGGCGAACGGGTTTCAGCAATGCTGCTTCGCCCGCTCTGTCCGACTCGCCCCCTCCCCGCTCAGCCCTGTTTGTTGGGCCCACCAGGTATTCCCACCCTGATGTACGGACTGGCGGCCACGCAGCTCATCCGACACCGCGAGATCGTGAGGACGCCTCGGGGCGACGTGACGATCTACTTCTTGCTACCGGAGGACAAAGGCTCGCAATACTGAGGCCCGATTTACACCGACGCTAATTCGTATCGAGGCCTCTCGTCACGGCCCTACTCCGAGGACGATGTCAACGGCGGCGGATGCTCGTTACATCCCCCTTTCATCCCCTCGTCGTGTCGACGTCCCGGCTGGCTTGTCGGGCGCGAGGGAAGTACGAAGACGGGATGGGATTAAGCGAGGTGGCGCAAAAAGTCCCAGCGCCGTCGTGAACGCACATATCTGCACGGAGAGGATGCGGACGCTAATTTCCTCAACTAACAAAATGGAGAACTACGAGATTACGCTTGTGTGCGCGTGTGTTGCCGCATTGAGCTGTTCTTAAAATAATACGTAATTCAGTGTAAGTATGAATGGTGTCCGTTCAGTGTCGTCGCGAACGATGTCAGCGAGATGTTAATAAACACATTTACACCTCGGAAAACAAGCAATCCCATTCTTCTCTCTCATCCCAGACGGAACATTCGTGTTTTATCGCGGTATTAATACAAGAGTTATATCGCTCGCTGATTCCTCGTGAAACTCGAGAACTGATTGGGAACTGATTCATTCACAGAGCCCGGAGGATGTATTTCTATTTCTTTTTAGAGGCAACGATGTATTGTAATTATAGCTTGCAGCAATCCAGTCGACGTAATAAAGTGTCAACTTCGACAGAAACTTATAACCCCCCTTATTCTCGAAATCCGTTGCAGTGAAATTTCACTTCGAGAAATATTAATCTCCTCTGAATACACAGAGGAAAAGGTTTCTTTAGATTTAGCATTTCTATTTATTTGACTGAAGTTTGTTTTACAGAAACAACATATATGCTCATACGAAATATTATTCGTTTGGGTAAACATTTTATCGTCTCATTCAAGAAAGCTCTTTTATTTGACAGAAAGAGCACTATCATTATTAAACATCTTTCAGCCGAATAAAATATTATTTAGTTAGAATAAATATGTAAAATCGAACGAGTAATTTCTTCATAAGAAAATTAACTTTCGTTTCACACAAACTTTTTATTTAAGATAAAGAAACGTATTCACCGAAAGATCGAACAATCGTACTTATTAATCGAAACATCTTTAAATCGTTAATCTTAAAAATCACTCAATCTTTCATCATGCCAATGATGAAATTTGCTCGGATGCGATAAAATTGATGAAATTCGGAGAAATCCTTTTCTCAGTGTACTCTGAGACGTAGTTATGCCGCGACAGATCCGGCGGGGTAACGCGCGCCAGTCGTAGCTCCGGTCAATTAAAATCGCGAAAAAACGCTCGTATGAGCGGTGCGAGATCGTTCGAGTCCCCGGCGGAGCGAGTGGCAGTGAAGCCTCCTAGTATCTGGTTGAGCGCGACCGGGAGCCGACGACGACGCGCCGATAACGCGAGGTCTCGTTAATGAGCGACCGCGGGCGATCCGCGCGTTGAACAAGGTGCGAACAACGCGCACGGTCAACGTTAACGCGGCTTTCTAATTAGCCGCTACCGCTACCCGTGTTTCCCGGCTGCCGATGATGCATTAACGCCAACTGGCTCGTGGATCCGCCCCAGCTTCCGTGGACGACGACGGGAGAGCAGACGGCGTGCTCGCCGGCCGATGGACCGTTTAACTCCTCGATTTACGAGCACGCGTGCCCGATGCGACGCATAATAACTCGTATTAATTACGACTGCTGACGTGAGCGGATCGCGATCGGCAACCGAGCCGCGATACCAGGCTTCGAGTTCCTTCCAGGTAGGCGCGTCGTCTGAGCGGCGTCCCCTCGTCAATCTAATCGATACGGGGTGTCGAATAATGCTCCTTGTTACGGCGATAAGACGCCTCCGAAGAATAGATATTGTCGTTGATGAACGCGATGAGTGGTGCCAGCCTACTCGAAACTTTGGGCTCTTTGTTAACCCTCGCAAGGGAAGGTGGAGTAGCAGGACGTGAATTGAAAGGTAGGGTTATGAGTGACCCGAATGTATGAATGTGTATTCCGTTCGATTAAAGTAGGGAAAGGGCAGAAAAATCATAAGAAACGATGAGTAAGGATATTTTTTCAAAAATATTATAATAATGTGTAATAAATAAACGCCTTTCGCTGGGGTCGACGAAAACAGTTCGTTTGATTTTACGATTCTACAACACAGTAGAGGAACTGAGATAGCTGAATTAGCTGATAGAGCTGATGAGTAACAAGCTAGCTTAAATCCTAATTATATAATTTATTCCCACTTTGACTGACGACGACATCTTCAGTATGCGTTTTCCTTGTTTCTAACATCAAAATAGGTTGCTTTCAATATTCATGTGAATTTAATAATCGAAATCTTAAGAATATTTATAGCTTCAAAATAATATGAAGATTAAATCTGTAGAGTTAAAGGTTCAAGAGAGAGAAAGAGAGAGAAGTTAAGAAGTGCAGTATCTTTAAAATAGATTTTTCTTAAAGGCCATTTAAATATCTGTCCTTTTTTGTTTAGCCTTTTTTTCACATTTTGCGGAAAACGCTTAACCCCCATTCGAATTCGACTCAGGTATCGTTGTAATCTTGGGCGACATGCGCCGCTACTCGATAGAGAGTCAACCCGTCGAAGTATCCTGTTAAAATACGCTTGTACCTTGGGATTTTTTTAAATCGCTCGCTCGTTTTTTTTTCGGGTGAGAAACTCGCGCCCTTAAATTCGAGTACGGGTTGCGGGAGCGAACGGTGAATTACGCTCAAACGTGTCCTTCCTAATATCTACCGGCGTAATCAATTCCCGATCTCGTAAATAGCGTGTCTCGGGGATAATTTGCTGGCTTTGCGTAAGAGAGATTGCCGGCTATTAATATATCACTGCCGCGGGTGATATATATCGATAATCGGTGATCGCGGGCGTCCGCGCGGCCGTCGAGAATCGAGAAACGAGCGCGGTGAAAGTAAACGCAGAAAACCCGCGGTGACCCGCGATTTTTCCCCGGCGGACTCGGTTAACGGCATTATCAGCGTTTCCTGCACGCAGGTGCAGCGATATTTGGAGTTTTCGCAACCGGCGACGAATAAAAATTCGCTAGCCAACCGTGAAATTGCGCAATGCAGCGTTCGTTTATTTGAGTCTCTCTCTCTCGACGCAGCGTTCAGGGACGTTTTTATCGTTTTATCGAACGCGACTGGCGCGCTACCACGAGAGACACGCACGTCTTCGAACGGCCATTTATCTTACGATGACCACGACGATAACGGCCGGATAAAAGTATTAATTAGCTGCCGGCTTTCACGTCGACGTTTTAGCGGACTTTCACCGACCCCTGTACCCTCCGTGACCGTCGCCAACGAGACGTCTCTGATTTCCCTATGTCCTTTCTATAATTTCCTTGTTATAGTCCTTACGAGAGGATCAAAACATAGCTGTCGATTGCACAACAATACTGTATGCCTTTTTTTTAAAGAATAAAAAAAATTAAATTTGTACCGTTTGTTATTTGTACATGAAGAAATGTGTACTTTGCCATTTAATGTAAATATGTAAAAAGTATGAGTATAAAATATGTTACATATTTAGATCCTCTTATTTACGTGTAATTATGAGGAAATATGTAATTGGTTAGAAAGGAAATTCTTCTAGCACTCATCCGTAAAAACTTCAATATAACGCTTTTCTCCCTAACTAATAATAATATTTAATTTTTAACGTTCCATATAATTAAAAACACATCAAATCTTCTAGATAATTATAATTACATACAAATAATACGAATTTATAATACCATAACTTTTTTATGCATTTATCATGTAAGTATAGTAAGTATAGTATATATATTTAGAAAAGAAATATGTTTTATCTTAAAAATTCAATATGTTCATGATTATACGTTAATTAACATGTTTCTTGCCAGAGAAAACTGAAAATGGATGAAATGTTAAATCCTCACGTATTAAATTACACGCTTTAAACGCGTAATTTAATACGTAAGCGTACGTATTTAATTGCAGAGTAACACGGATCAAACACGTAACGAAGTAACACGCGTAAAAGAGCGTGAAAAAAATGACTACACGATTTTACGCACAGTAAGTGCGTAAAAATTACACGCTCGGATTTAGCAGTGTAGAAGCAGCGTTTCCGGCAACGTCGGTCAGTTCCAGCTGAAAAATCCTCAACCTCTCTTTCTCTCATTTCTCTCTTCGAAAAGCGAATCACGAAAAAGCGGAGGTAGAGTTATCGGAAGTTTCCACCGGCGGGAAGGAAATCCGAATATCGCGGGATAACGTGTGCGATCGCCGCTGCAATCTCCGCGAAAAGCGCCGGGGAAGGAAGTGCCAGTTGTAAAACAGCGAACGGCAGTTTTCGCTCGGGGGCTCGCGCCGATAAATCTGTAATTACCCTCACGCCGGCCGGCGATATTACCTCACCGGACCTCGGCGGACCGGCGCATTCGGGCATGGCGGTTATCGGCCGATTCGATCCGAGCAGGATCGCGAGCGGCCACTCAGCCGCGTGTAAGATATATCCAATCTGCTATCTGGTATAGATAACGAGAGATTTTCCAGAGCGATCCGGGGTCTCACGAGCGACTGGCCCGCGCGGTTGCTCGCTCCGAGTGAGCCAGGTAGAAGGGTGGCCGGAAGGCGGGGTAGGACGGTGGATGGGAATTTTACGAGACTCGTTAGGAGCATCGAGGCGGGCTAGTTATGCTGATTAGATCGAGTTTACACGTTGGGAATACGCGACTACCACACGTTTTAATGATATTTCCAGCCGGGCGCTCGTAAGGAAGGGCGCGCGCGTTCGCTCGCTAGGACGACAAACCGAACGGCGCCCGCGAATCAGTAAGGCAACTTGTCCCGTTTCCCCGGGACAGCGGAATACCGATAACGATAACCCGGGGAGTCGCGTAACAGAGCGTAGCTGGGCCGAGCGCCCCGGTGGAGTCGCGTTAAATAACGTTGCCTAACGACAAAAGGCAGGATAATTGACACGAACGAACGAAGGGAATGAAGGCTGCAACGTATTATTTCCTGCCGTTCCGCTTCCTGGGCGCGCGCCAGCCGCGCAAAGCGCTGTTGCGCCGCTCGCATGGCACTCACCGCCGCGACGCGAATCTCAGAGTGAATTCATCTCACGTGCGATCGTTTCGGGACATCTCGATATGTTGATGTAAAAATCAGATTTAATTTGCATTCGTATGTATCATGAAATTATTCATGCAAAAACAATCACCACACATGAATCTTGCATGTTCGTACTAAATCAATTTAATTTGCTTAACTAAGCATCATCGTTAAGCGGATTAATATTGACTTATGTGCAGTACTGAAGAATTTCCGATCAAAATATATGAAGAAGTACAAATACAGATATTGATAAATATTTCATCGTCGGAAAGTTCAATAAGAGTTGAAAACTTTTCAAAGGAAAAGTTGTCGGAGTCTCTACAAAATTACAAGTATCAAGTTTTCCATGTGATACATATCATATATAGAGAAAAATGTTTTGAAAATATCATTGTAGCAGGAATTGAAACTATCATTGTAGAAGAAATTCAAACATGTTGGAAGGGGATTCGCTTTTACTAAGACCTTTGAAAGCTTAACGATTTTGTAGGATATTGTAAAGAAGCCATCTTTAGTTTGAAAGATATCCGCAACTCCTTACAGCTGACGCGATGATAATTGTCAAAATCTTCCGAGTAATCCGAGCAAAAGTTGGCGGAAAAGCAGATATCGCAGGTCCGAAGTTCAGCCTGAGCACGGCGACAGATAAGACACGATCTTGCGTACATGAACATGTCCATTTCGTGTTTAAGTAGTCGACATGACATACGGGACCGGACTTAATTCGCTAGTTCCTGTGTAAATGAATACCATTCGGTTAAATTGCTCGTTTTGTTCCACGGACGCTCTTCTAAACATTTCACTAAAACTTTGCAGATCTGCTTGTGTTGATTTCGGTCAGTCCTTTTGTGGTCCAATTCAGGGTACGAAATCATACTGCAACGACTACACCATATCAATATACCTCCGTTTACAGACTTGCAAACATGACAAACATTCTGTTGGAAAAAGCGATTATATTGTGCAAGTATCACTGATCCTGTACTTGTATTGAGTCCAGCCTTTGAAACGGTTCTCACCATAAAGATATCTCTGTGTAGCTGATGCCCACTAGCACATTACCGGCAATGTTATCGTGACAAGTAATTATGACTTCCAAGCAAAGAAAAGGCATTTGTTATGTACTGTAGAGATATTTCCTCTTTGTTTCTGTTCGGGTAAAACTAACGTATGGAAAACACCAATATATTATTTATACATGTTCTTGTGCCTCACGAATTGTTGACAATCTTATGTGTAACTGGAGAGAGAGAGAGAGAGAGAGAAATACAAGAGAACGAACTACGAATACCCGTCATCACGCCGAACATCACAAACAAATATGAAAAATGCGACAAAGGTCATACCGTATTTCGTGTTTAGTAAAGTTTATGTTCGTATGTATTATTAGATAATTCTTACATAAAACAATCATGGTACACGAATCTTACATTAAATCAATTTAATCTGCTCAATCATTAAACGTTAAATTTCCTTAATTATTTACATTAAACCTTTGATTGTAATCTTAAAATTCATAAGATTAAGAAAATAAATTACTTTTCTACGCGGATTATCCTTTCCTTCTAAAAGAATAAAGTACCTAGGTATATGCTCGGTAATTAATAATTTCATATTATCAGAGAATTAATATTAACTTGTGTTCAGTACTGCATAATTTTCAACCAAAATACGTGAAGAAATATAAATATAGATATTCAAAATATACTTTATTATAGGAAAATTAAATTTGAGATATTTCACACATACATCAAAATGATAATACATTTTTAATAAAAAATAATGTAACCGGTATATCAAAACGTGTATGTCAAACCTGTATGTCCAAATGTGTACTCTAATTAGCAACTCCAATTAATAATATTTTTAATTCAATCACAGACAAAATTGACATTATATATTTTAACAACTATGTCATCAAAATGGACATAGTTACGCACGAAATTCGCCATATCCTTACATTTGCTCGTTTGAACCCATTAAATTCTTGTAGACAATAATATAGTTATTACAGTAACACACACTATTATCTTCAGCTGTCATTACTGGAATGAGAGAGCTGAATCTATTTTTTGTAACCAAAAGAGGTTGTGTAGTAGTACCCAGAACGTTATAGAAATTAGTTACCAACTGTTCTGTTTCCCATTTAAATAATGTTGTGAAAAGTAACGGACAATTTTGATTCTGGAATAGTGTGATACATTCTTTCGATAACATTGTATATATTTGGTGAAACCCTATAATCACATTCGGGCGTCTAAATTCCGTACATACGACATAATTTTCATACATCTTCGGATAATATTCAATAATAATACTTTTCTTACGTGCACGGCATTCAGCGCACATTTTGAGTGTACGCGATCTAAACGATAATTCTGATCCTATTAATACAATTATTATTTTCTGTACATCAGGACACAAGAGATGCAATGAAAGCTCCCAGGCTTGAAAAAAAGATTTACATACAATTCTAGGGTGGACAATATGAATGACACAGACAGGTTTCGACAAAAGGTGTACCAAATTTGCATCCTTCATTCCGTAGTACAATGTAAGCGAATCTGACGCATATGTAGAATATTTGAAATCGTTAACTTTAAAAAGATCGATAGTCCAGGGATTTGTAGCCCAGATTCTGTTATTACGATGTAAGTACAATCCAATAAACTCAAGCATATTTAAAGGACACTCGTTGCTCCACGTAAAGTTAGAAACTTTTTTAAATTTCATCGATTGTTTGGTAATTCCCATAAGGATACATGAATTAAGGGCTACTAGGAGTTCCTTGCAAATAGATCTATGGTATCTGTGAAAATCTTCTGAATGCCTGGAGCAATAATTGGCGGAAAAGCAAATACCGCAGGCACGCAAATTGGCCTGTCGATGACAAATAAAACACGATTTTGCGCGCATGAACATCTCCCACTCGTATGTCTCCAATGGCCGGTGCAGTTTGTTTATGACTAAATTTTTTAGTTCTTCCCTCGATCGTAACCATTCAGATGCGGTTAAACGGCGTGTGTAGTACCACGGATTCTCTTTTAACAATTTTTCTATAATTGAACAGATGTCCTCATGTTGCCACATGTGCTGCATTTTGTGCTTGACGCTGCAGTACGAAATCATGCGGCACCGTCCACACAATAGCAATGCGCCTCCGTTTGGTGACTTGCACACATGACAGATATTCGGATAAAAACACTTGTTGTAGTGCAAGGGCGTCTGTCGTCCTATATATTTAACGACTCTAGTAGTGAGGTTCTGCGACATATCTGAGCAGCCGTTCATTGCGAGCACTTTATATAGTTAACTGAAAATTAATCAATGTTAACTGAAAATTAAAGCACAAATCACGACAACTTATGGTGAAAAAAACAGTACTTGTTATACCCTGTATAGAAATCCGCTCCGGCAACTATTCGTGCAAAATTAGCGTTCAAGAAGGAAAATAATGAAATATTTATATATGTTTCCGTACGTCTCGAGAAATCTTAAGTGTTCTTCCATCTTGTTGACAATCTAATATATAATTGGAGACACACACAACAATCAACAACAATCCGATATCGCGCGAGACCTTGGTAATTAAATTTAAAATATACAAACAAAGGCATAGAATATCTTCTGTTTAGTAACGCTTGTACTTGTATGTATTGTTAGATGGCTCTCGTGTTGACATAACTGTAATATATAAGCTTCATGTGCTTTGCCTTGAGTTCAACCCGAACTTCAAGATTGATACAATAAGGATCAATATATGTCCAAGATTAATATAAAATTAATGTCATAATATAATAATAATTTTCAATAATATATTAAATAACAATGTAAGTATTGATTTTCGTTAAAAATTATATTATTTTTATTCAAATTACTCACTTATATCATCATTCATTATAGAGATGGAGAATATTACATGTCCCAGTTCATGCATGAATCATTTATTATTATATATTTAACAAGGAAAACTATTCAAAATACTAATTAAAATTTTACATTATACACATGATCACTACATGCATTAATTTTCGACATACAGACGAACGGTCTTAAACTGAATTTTTGTTACATAAAACGCACTTTATAACAATGTATTCGCAGAAACACTCTTATTTCAATCTTATTTCAATTTACAATCGATCTTGTAAATTGTTTATAATGGTGTTAACAAAGTGTTGATACAATCACGCACGAGGTATGTTACATCCTTGAATCGGTTAGATTTGATTATTTAAATTCTTTTAGATAATTAAGTAATTATTACGAAAGGTGGTTAAGAATTTATATGGATGAGACATCATTAGAATAACGATATTGAAATTGACATATGTCTGTAACTTTTTGCAGCTGGAATAATGATACCCATAAAACTCCAGTAAGTGATCACCACAAAAGTTGGCAGAAAAGCAGATATAACAATGATGCAGTCCAGCCTGTCGATGGCAAATAAGGCACGATTTGGTGAATAATATCATTTGGTATTCGTATCGATGCAATGTATATGACAGTCTACATTTGGCTAATTGCGTTAGTTCGTGCCTCTGATTGATCCATTCGGTTGAGGTAAAACGTGTGTAGTACCACGGATTTCCATCTAATAACTTCGTCAAAAATACGCAGATAAAGAAATGCTCTTCTTCGTAAAGCCTTTTGTGATGAGGACTGCATGTACGAAACCATGAAGCACCAATCACACGATATCATTGCGCCTCCATTTGTCGACTTGCAAACGTGACAAATATTCGGAATGTAAAACGTGTTATATCGATCGGGCATTAGTAGTCTTGTATAGTTGATGAGTTCATTTCTTAAATTAATTCTTAAATCCATCGCGATATATGTCCGTATACCCGATATTTATGAGCACGTTGTCGCCGATATTAATTGAAATATAATTGTCGAATCGCGTGACACCTTAAAGCAAGAAATCAAACTTGTTATACGTTATATAGATGTAGACACGATTATCGTTTGGAAGACTAATAAAGTGACAATCTGTTATATAACCAGAGGTGTATAGTGAGTTACAGACATCCGTTACGAAAACAATCGCGAGCAAATGTACGACACAAGCATACTTCGTGTTTACTAACACTTATATTCGTATTATTAGATTGCTGTTGTTAAAGCAATCATGATAGATGAGTTTCACAGGTCTTATCTTATATCTGTTTGATTTGTTTAATCTTTAAGTAAATAAGATCAAATCAATATCAATATATATATATATATATATATACACCAAATTTTTCTAATATCAAAATTCCATGAGCACATAAGAAATATAACGGTATTATAGAAATAGATATATTTCTCCAAAAGGTTCTCCCATAGATGAAAAAAGAAGGAAATATGAATTTCGCCGTAGGTTCATTCCTCTTTGACGTGAGGTTTAGAATCAACGCACACACGTTATACAACACGTTACACGTCTGAAGTAATCACGAGATGAGGTCTCAGAACGACGTATCCGCATCGCGCGCAATTAATTTAACGCGAGGCTCACGAGAGCTCCATTTGCATGTCCCAATGGCCGTGGCGCTATTCTAGAGATAGCATCTGCTTGTAACCAGGAATCTACTGCGATATTAAATGCTTCAACAGGTCCGATCGCTGACGCGTAAAATTCGCCAGACGAAAATCGCGCGCGCTATCAACGTCTCATGAATACAGATATGTATATAAGGAGGAAAAATAGAATGTCGCATTCGCTTATAGAAATAATTGTATAATCACCGCGAACCATCTCAACGAATACAAATATATCTCAACATTACCGCGACAATTTGACTTTCTACTGTTCAAGCAAAAGCTTGGGAACATTTTTCTTTTTCATCTTTTATATGAAATGAAGAATGTAAGTATGATTATTTCCTTACGTTTATAGGGGCACGCGCTGTGTTTAAATTTTTGTGCAATTGCACTGAGAAAAAGGTTTCTTCAAATTTAATAAATATTGCATCCAAACAAATTTCATTATTGACATGCTCCAGAAAAATTCATGTTTCGATTAATAAGTACGATTGTTAAACTTTTCAACTAATATGTATTTTTATTTTAAATAAAAATTTTGGAACAAAAGACTTTCTTATAAAGAAATTATTTGTTTCATTTTACATATTTATTGTAACCAAATAATATTTTGTTCGGTTAAAAGATATTATTCCAAATCATTTTTCTTCTTCCTGTTAAATAATAGAGTTTTCTTGAACGAAACGATAAAAATTGTTTAAATTAAAAAATTTTTTATTTAACTATTTCTTTCTTGAATTGAAACGGCACATTTTTTACTGAAACAAATACATTTTGCATATGGCGTTTCTATGAAACAAATTTTATTAATTAGTCAAATAAATAGAAGTGCTAAATCTAAAGAAACCTTTTTCTCTATGTGCCACATTCGAATTGAGCGATCTTTAGATTTCTTTGAATTTCAGAAGTCCATCGTTGTTATGTTTAAATAACCTCGTCTCGGTGTATTATTTTCGCTGACCGTTCTTGTTCTTGTTCCCGCGACACGAAATTAATACTTGCTCAGCGAATAGTTTGCGACGCGACGTGCAATATCGTCGCAATATCGTTTGTGTGTGATTCGCATTACGCACAGAGTTACGCATGACGTTGCGGTATCGCATTCGCCGTGCTGACATCGCCCGAACCTACTTTTCGGTGGGAAGAAAGGCTAAATGGAGCAACGCACCGTGTAAAATAATAATGCTCCGGAACCGAAGAGATAACATCAACGGCAACATCCATCCGGTAAAGTGCAGGTGGATGCTCGGAGAAAGCTGGTCACGCTTTTAATATCTTTCTAAATGGACGGCTCTCGCATAAAAGGGATCCGGCGGCTTTATATCAAAACTGAGGAACAGACCCTTTTAATTCTCTCTAGAAAAAAGGGTCTCTACAGAACAAACCCAAGTAGTACATGCTTAACGAACCCGAGACTTGAAATTTGCTCGATCTCGATCCGGTTGACGGTTTACTATTTAAAGATGTTAAGATGATTAAAGACTCAGATCTCAAAATAATAAAAAACTTATGAAAAAATTACAAGTTGACCTACGTCGCGTTTAAAAACGACACCAGAGATTTCACCGTAACCCAGAACCTGAATCAAAAGTTGGCCCACTTCAAGGTGTTTGCAAGGTGAAATTCGCTCGCCACCCGTCTGATACAGAAAAATCGTTCAAACCTGTTCTTTCCGCGTCGCAACTAAGGGAATCGATTACGGGCGAAGAAGAAGAAAACGATTCAAAAGGCAGAAATGTTCCTGTTGTGTATGTACACTTCGTTGTACACCACGACGGTAACTCCAAGTGTACACGGAACATTGGCCGAAGCGCGAATAAATCTGTTGATTTATTTATTAGCACGCGCACACGCGCACATGAGCGAATACAGTCGAGTGGACGATGTCCAGTTCGCCGTCTCTTATCTAACTCCGATCGAGTTCGAGCATCGAAGGCGAGTTAATTTTANGGGGGGGGGGGGGAGGAGAGAGGAAGAGGAAGAGAGTAAGATAGTCGAGAGAGAGAGAGAGAGAGAAAAAGAGAGAGAGGGAGCGGATGAAGCCTTCCGGGCGCTCACGGAATAATCGCGCATCCTCGAGGAGCTCGTGAGTCACGGTCGGAATTAGGAGCCTCCGCCGTCCAATCGCCGGCTTCCCGGCCGGCGTCTCGGCGAAACCGGCGATGTACATACAGTCACCGGGAGATAGGGAGCAGCCCCCTCTGATTTACCGCGCTAGTTACGGACGACTACTGAATTCGCATTAATTTATGCGCGTCCACAAATCAAGCGCGAAATAGAATCGTACCTTCTTTCTGCGCACGCATTTCCCCCCGGCTGCGATCGTGCGCGTCGATAACGGTGCCCGATAATCGATACATTTCGCCCGTCCGCGGTTACGCGCCGTGCAAACGGCGCCGCGGATGGATCGGCGCGCGATTATTAACTGTCGCGTTACCACGTTGCGCGCCGGGCCGCTGCTGATTATTGGCAAGGTGATCACTTAAAGGCGGCCGTTGCCGAGCGCTTTTCGCACCTGTGCTCAGCGAGAAGGGAAGATAATCGACCGGCCGACACACTTAACACGCGGCCGCGCCTCGAATGAAATCGCCCCAATAGACCGAGAGGCGCACGTGGAATTCGTGCGCGTTCTTAAATCGCAA